GTTCGCGGAACGAAATCGTACAGAACGGAGGTCTGTACGTAAGACGGTTGTTGCGCGCACAATTGTGTAATATTGTACAACGCGCAAGGGACGGAAAACGTTTCCAAACGCTGTCGATAACCGAAACAAAATATATATTAAAACAGTTCCATTACTTCATGGCGGTTGCTGGTATTAATAATTCTGTTGTCGAAAAACTAGTAATCCTACAGATTACTTGTGTAGCAGTGATAACCAATAAAGATTTACGAGAAAGCTGCGATTATTGTTCGTTGGTCTGGGCCATGTCTATGGCCAATAATTTTAGTTACCCGAAATCGCGTGATATAAAATGGCATGTTGTTCCCCGGTAACTTGTTTAGGTCATGAATAAAACGTATTTGTAATGTTTACAAAACGTAATACATATTATTGTATACATTCAAAAATTATTAACATTATTACAATTTTTATTGTAAAATTATAAATTCAAACATATTACGATAAAACATTTTAAATATTTATTCTATATCCGATACGTTTATCTTAATTTCCAGGGGGAAAAACAAAATCGTAATAAACCGTTACAATAACGTCTATATAAAAAAAAAAAAAAAATGAAAAAGTAACAGTGAAAGACGTTTAAAAAACGAACAAAATTAGAAAACTTTTCCGTCCTTGATAAATACGGCCGTCAAACTTCGTGTCTCTTCCGCAGCATTCGGTCACGCCCGGACGTTCTGCTTGTCCGCGCGAGAGTTCCCCTGCCACGTTTATCGGCTGCTGCCGCGGCGGTTACCTGTAACAGTACTGTTCAACGTTAGTTTTCCGATAAAGACCGTGCCGATTCGGTAACGGTAACGAGTCGTAAACTGTAATACGGAATTCACCATAAACATTACGCTATCAATCGTATAACTTTACTACATTATAATATACTATAGTTTCGCGAGCCGCGATCCGCCGGTTACGTACCTGTATGATATAATATACGACGAACACAATAAAATAAATTATTAAAGGTATGGAAAAAAAAAAAAAAAACTAAAAAAATGAATGTCATTGAGTCGGTCATAACATCGCCATAAAAATAAAATTTATTTCAATTTTAATGTATTCCGCGCGTGTGTGTATTATACCCGTGTTATATTATACTATCGCGTTAGTTTCTCGCGAGTTTATTGCTTCAATAGTGTTTAATAATCACAATAGGGACCGACTGTAGAGGCCTTTGGCATCGGTGTAATACATTAGAAAAACTCTCGAGTTTTTCCCAACTGCACCGCCGTACAACAATATTAGATGGACGTGCGTTCCGTACTTCACGCTCTTCTCGTCAATATGTTATCAGTAATCATTGTATCGTTTTATTCCGACCGATCGAATAGTCACTTATAATAATTTTTTTTAAAAACTACTAATTCAATTTTAAAAAGACTAATATTTCTACTATTATTGAATACGAGTTACGCGTTCGAAACGGGGTTTTTCAGCCGTAGTATGCAGATTCGTACACGGATCCGACCGGTGACGCTGAAACGCGTTTTAAGAAGGCGGGTAGGTAAGAGTCGTATAGACCACCACCCTCGTTTACGAAACAAACTCCCGTACAGTTAACACTGTTAATATTAATATTCCACGCGCACTAATTCGATAAAAAAAAAAAAAAAATACGGCTCGGGCGCCCATCGAGGTTCAATCGCCGACGCGCCCGTTAAAAGAACGGTGGCAATCGCCCACCCGTGACCGCCGCACGTATCGGCGCCACCGGATCCAACCGCACTCGATGCACAACAGGATCGCCCGGTGTACAAAATGTTAAAAAATGTCGAACGGCGCCGTTAGTTAGTCGTTAGTTTCGAAAAACGCCGCGTGCGATCATTGGACGATTGAATTTTCGAGCGGTTTTCGTTTCCTTTTCATGAACCGTCCCCCGGGCGCCGGTATAATAACAACAACAACAATATCGTAACAACGGTACGGCGCACGCGTTGCGAAAACGATTCTCGTCGACATAATACGTGCATTAACACGAGTCCGTTATGCCGGTGTGCACAATATTATCGTATATTACGCCGGACAATATCGTATATTTTGCCGCACGTACATACGTATTTATAATATCGCGTTGTTTCGCGCACGTCGGTATTTGTTATTAATCATATATAACTGGCAATATTATTATTATTATTATTTATTTATTTTTTTTTTTTTTCGTATAATTTCGTATCATTAAGTCATAATACACCCGTACGCGCGTATCCGCGAACTGCGAAGTACATTATAAAAATTAACTATTTCACCGATCGCACGGGTACGACCGAGCCGAACCGAAGAGTATAAATTATCTTCCTATACTTATTATATTATATACCTACAGGTAGGTACGTATTGTAGCGGCTTATATGATAATATTATAGTACACCGATAAGTCAAAACGCAATATTTTTTTTTCTCGTTTTATACGATCGTGACGCATACCTATAGTTAAACATAACGTACAACGTCTTTCGCGAGTACCCGTACGCATAACACTCGCGTAGGATATTGTGAGAATATCGGAGAAACAGCGTTGTTTGAAAAATCGAGAAAACCCTATTACCAATACAGTACAATGAAATGTGCGAATCGACAACATAATATGATGAGTGATCACCGTTAGATTGTGAGGGGTTATTTTTTATTAATTATAAAACAATATATACCTAAAATAAGTTATAATTGAACATTGTTTACAGTGTACATTGATTGCCCTATACACGGTGGGTGTTTTATGCAACATCCAACATTAAATAGAATGACCGAGCATTTCCATAGAAAATGGAAAAATTGTTTGCCCGTAACTTATTATATATTTGATTAATTATTTTACTATTGGTAAATCGAATATCGGAAAATATCCACCAGATTGTAATTTTTATGTTCCGATTTTGTGACAAAATTTTTTTTACTTTTTCCAATTTTTTTTTTTCACAGAGTTGTACCGAATATTCTACAGAGTGTCACCGTGGCACCCGATTTTTCATTTTTTTTTTTGTCTGAGGGGAGGGAGAGGGGGATGTATTTAAATACTACGGTTTTTTAGTGCGTCGTTTAAATAATTTAATATTTTTTTTTTTTTTTACGAAGATGAACCAAACACTCCTATTTGTGATCTATTAATTACAATTTCATTTTATTCGTCGTTTTAATCATTTGCACACTTTGTCGTAAGTAAATGCTGGCCGAAAACACCGGTAATTAAAACTAAAAATTAAACTATTGTTCGGTATGCGAACAACATTCAAACGTAAAACTTGAATTCTCCTAGGTTTTGTAATGGGACTAGGCTTCGTGTCACCTCTCTTTCAAAAAACGTAATTGAAGCTGAAATTTTAAAAGTTCTAAAAAAAGTCCACGACAGCATATGTCTACCTTTTAAGATTGACTCACTATAACCTTTTTTAATGTAATCGAATTCGTTCGTGTTTTATTACCGTTGTCGTATCGCGATGCGTTTGGTGTGGATATATATTGCGGTTTATTTACACACAGTAGTGTCGTGGCCGTTTTCCGAATGATAAGGTTGCTGTCCACACTCGCTTGACACGTAACTGTTGCAACTGTCTCCATCGCCGCGAGTGTGTGTGATTATGATACATAAATGTATTATCCGTTAAATCACGTTCAACGATAAAAAAATATGAACTCTTTTTCGATTCCCACACAAGGCGCTTTCTCGCTTAACACGCTCTAGAGAGTTGGTCCCTTAAAAAGCGTCTTAAGCGAGTTTTACTGCAGTTTGTATGGCGAATCAACCATTGCTCATAAAACGATAAAACTCATCAAATTATACTTTTTTATACTTTTGGCAATGTTTCTGCATTTTTGACCAATCAAGTTAATTCGGAGGATAGCTAGGGACAGTTTGATGGCACAACAGAACACTTTTAGTCCGCTAAATGCGGACCACCCACTTCTCGCCTATTTGTATTCATTAAATAATTTCATTCGAAATCGCGCGCTAATGAAAAATATATTTTCGTATAACTCGAGAAAACACCGGCAAGACGAAAACATAATGTTCGAACGTTTGTATTTCAATTTTTTTTTTTTGTTAAACTTTCGACTTTTTTCACGTTCAAATTTTAAACAATAATTTTTCGATACGTACGGAATAATTTACGTGTAATATGAGAGCGAATATAAAACACTCGGTCTTTACGTCTAACATAACGACAGCCCCAGGAACATCTACAAATACCTATACGTACACTTTCTCAATTTCGGTACGATTCTTTTTTTTTTTACCATATACACGGCCGTCACGTCATATTAAAAAGCGAAACATACAGTATAATTTTATAAATATTTTTTCAAGAAGAAAATATTATTTCGCCGAGAGCAGTATTCCACACGGAAATTGTAACGTTACCATACACGACGTACCTATATTACAGTATAATAATACTCGTGTAGGTTCGCGTGATCATAAAAAAAAAAAACCAACGAAACGCCCGCAGTCTGTGCAAATACTTTATATCCGTCAATATTCGCGATGTACTTACTATTATATTGTAGACACGGTTCACATGTATACCGACGATTCATTTTTTTTTTTTTTTACACGAAACACAATAATTATCGTTGCTTCCAGTGTATAATATAGCTTCATTAAAATATTATACGTTGACTTAATAAGAGGTTTATCTTTTATGTGTATATTTACCTATTATACCGCGTTATTATTCAAACATATTATCGCTGTGTGTCGATAATAATTCACACGAGTATCTAAAGAACGTACCGAGACGGTTGAAATAATAATACATAAATGTGTACAATAGTTCCGTACCTTTGTGGCGAAAACCGATAAGTGCCAAAAAAATCGATTTTAAAATTGTACGTGATATCGAAAGGATAAACAGGTTGAAATTTGACCGTGTCGTAAAAAAGATATCTGGTGCTGCAGCTCTATTGTTGCCGAACAGTTATTGGCCAAAAACGAAAATGATAGGTATAACTAACGCTACACGATTACCGAGCTACCGACCGGTGGCGGGGCTGAATGGGTATTCTTCGGAACAGCTCTGCTTCACGATCAAATTAGGTTGGTGTGATACTTTACCGTAATATAAGTCAACGAAAGAGACAGACGGCACGGTGATATAATAAAGCGGCCTCAGTTATACGGCCGATCCGTTTGGGCTTGGGTTGTACGAAGTTATTTTTGCGAATTTACCGAAACTGCTTCACGGACGAAGGAACTTCACGCCGTTCCCGCTACCGATTGCAAATAATAATTACTATCGTGACCATAAATGACAAGACACACGATATCACCCGCGCGATGCGACCGCATAAATTCTCATATTGTGTTATTAGCTGTAATACGTTATGGCCGATACAAGGTTTCGATATAATTGATGGTGTTATTATTTCCGTGTACAACGTATATAACCGCGAGTCTAACGGAGAAAAATTATCGAAGAAACAATTTTCCGGAACATTGTTTTTAATTTTTTTATTCAAATAAAATATCGAGATTTTAATCTGATTTTATCGAATTTCGAGATACGTGTCGTCGTATCAGTATCGTATGTGTAAGCGGCGTTGATAATATCACGTGTATAGATACTTTTCGCGTCGTTATCGCGGCTGAGTCGCAATCTTTCAATCGCATCCGCGTATAAAATATAATAATAATAATATCGTAACCGTGTATCGTAGAGAAATATCTGAAATCTCGTTGTTCGCGTTTACAAATCAACGACGACAGCCGCGGCAGACTGCAACGACCGTCGTCATCGGGTGTATTATTATCGTATGGAATCCGCTGCAAAATAATAATAATCGTCGCGTCGTATACTTGCCTTACCATAGCTGCAGCTATACGTATAACACATAAACAACAACGTGTATCATCGAGTATCGTGTTATTATTGTTTACCATTATAGTGTGTGTGTGTGTAAAACTTACCTATATAGAACCCGGGGGAACATAATTATTTTACAGGGTGTTCCATTTAAGCGGGTACACTCATATTCAGAAAGTTTCAACTTCTTCGTGATTCGTTTCATCGGACGTGTTATTATTCGTCGCCTTTATTTTCCGGGGTAAAACCACTACCTTCATTTGATTTTTAAGTGATGAAACATCAAACATTTCACATACAGAGAGAGTATTATAGTTAAAATAAATTTTAACATTGAGATTTTTGATTTCCGTCAATCCGTCGATGAGATAATCCGCTTTTAATTCTGAGTTGGGGAACAGTATAGTGGAGCATCATTCGTGGGAGACCGAAACCTTTTAAGTGGAATATCTTGTCGGCGGTTTGACGGAAATCAATCATTGTGCACAAAGTATACATGCATTGAATGTGCAGGTGCAATCAATGTTGATTTAATTATATTCTAAAAGGGTGCCTGACGGATATCTTTTAGTTGTCGTTGTCATTGTTGTTATCGTACCCTGCGCGCGCATGCGTATGATATGGTATGATAATAAAATAATAACAAAAATAATATATTGCGTGCCGTTTGAGGGGATTGGAAGCGACGAGTTTCTGTCTTTGTCTTACACACTTGAGGGATTTTAATGTATTTTATTAGCAACGTACCGATTGATCTAATGAAGTGATAAGAATTCTGAAAACAGATTAGAATTTGTCGTGAAGTCTAATTGAGATTCGGCTTTCCCACGTTTTCGATTTTTGATTTTAATTGTTCAAAAAATTAAAATGTTCAATTTTTACAGTTACTCTTTTGTCAATATGGTTTTTTTTTTTTAGAATTTAAGGAGATAAATTTAAAAAGTGGAAAAGTCGATCTCAAGTAGACTTTACGACAAATTCAAATCTGCTTTCGGAATTCGTATCGCTTCACTAGATCAATCGGTACGTTGGAAATAAAACACGTCTAAATCCCTATGTCTCACGTGTATAAGATAAAGACAGAAACTTCCAATCCGCTTTAACCGTCCGCTGTACCGCCGCCGACGAGGGCCGGGGACATTTTTTTTTTACGCGTCGTCGTCGTCGTCGCCGTCGTCGTCGTTTGTCGTTTCGACTTTGTAAAGCTCCTATATACAATACATTATGTTATTATTATAATAAAAACGTCACCGCCGTTGAATTATCGTATGTAAATTATTATATGCGTATTTAAAAAAAAAAAAAAAAAATTAAACCCGCGAACCCGCACCGGAGCTCGCGCCGCAGAATTATCCGCGCAGTCGCAGTCTGCCGCCGCGGCGTCCGTGTCGTACTCTCGTACATATAAGTACGCATTATTATTATTATTGTTTTTTTTTATTATTTTTCATATGTATTTCGTGTTTAATGTACGCACTGTTTTTTCACCGCCGCAGTCGCGCCCCGACCGCAGTTTTCGCCGGGTATTAAACGCGTTTTACAAGGCGCTAAATCAGCAGACCCACGACAAAATACACACACACACACGATATTATTATTAACACGTCGTATATCCCGACGTGTATATTCGTCCGCTTTCGATTTTTTTTTTTTTTTATGTTTTTCTCCGCATTTCCAGTACCGTATGTTATACGAGTATTATACGCGCGGCGAGTATTTATTATTATTTAATTTATTATTATATCGCCTATTATACGTACACGTATATATATATCAATTTTTTGTTCTTATTTATTTTTTATTTTCCCCTCGCCGCTTCTGCATTATACATTATAGGTATAATACATCTGGATATAGGTAATATATATTACAAAATAATATTATACACGTACACGTAATATACCGATCTCGTATCTATACATCACGCGGGCCGTGTGCGCGTTATCTTAACACGTATTCGCCTACATATCCGTGTAAATCTCTCGCCGGCCACACGTATATAACACCCCCTACCGTCGGTGCCGGTTTCCCCTGTCGCCCCGTCTCGCCGCGGGAGAGGTGGCCGCACGCGGCGAGATCGCGCGCAAAACACAATATCCATACGATCTCGTAATATTATCATTATTATTACTGTTGGCCGTACATCGTGGTTTGGTCGCGATTCGCAATGTCAATACGTCGATACCTTTAGCGCGCGCGAACCCGGACGGTACCGTCGTTATAGTCCGAAAGTCAAGGTGTACTTCATTCGCGTTATTTTTTGTCCGAAAACTTTGAACCCGACTAGTCGGGAATAAAGAGAAACACCAATTGAAACGTTCGAAAACGACCAGGTTTGTTTCTGTCGATACAAAAATAAATTTGTCTTAACCGAGCCGTTAAAATCTATAGAGTATTCCTACAAAACTTGCGGTTTTTTCGTTTGTTCTTCAGCGGACATAGCCTATTCATACGCCAACATCACTATCGAAACATAACGGGACATACATGTGGTGTGCCCAGTGTCCCGCAGAAGAAACCTTGTGCGGTAAGCAGCGGTATAAAAAGAAAAAGTACGGCGTGTTTTAAAACCACTCGGCCGGTTTTCACCGAACTCAAAATAGTTTTAAAAACATCGATCGATCTCACTTTGTTTCAACCTTTGAGTTTTTTTTTTTATTCGCTTCGGTCATAACGTTATAATAATTCGAACGCGTTAATATATTATTAATGTTCGGATTCGACGCGATGTTAAATTTACAATACGCTATATCGGAATACCTCCCACCTCCCTGTCGCCGTGTTTATAGCGCTGAAACCGTCGTTGTACACACGTTACACGATTCGGGTTTAATCGTTTTCGCCGCGTGACGACAACAACGATTTTACAAACACACCCTGCAAAAGTGTATGCGATTGATCGAGGCGAACGTTTTTCGAATTGACTTGTTACTACTTCCACACGCTCGACTCGTAACCGTTTCGATATTATTCGAAAACTCGTCCAGCCTTGGCAATAATATTACGGTCGTATGTTATATTTTAATATCATTGTGTAACGATATTGTTCCGCGGAACACCATTATCGGACAGATGATTTCGGTATACCGTACACTGGTGTTGGTAATTAATTATATTAATGGGTACCCACGTATCGATGTCGATTTTTCGGTTTTTTTTTTTTTTTTTTTTTTTTTATGTACGCGTACGATTATAATAATATTATAATAATTTACTGTGTCCCTCACATCGGACAGCAAATCGCGATTCGGTCGTAAACCAGTATATCCAACGTTAAACCCGTGTGCGCAATGACTAATCACAAACCACCGCGATCGGCACTCTAAAACCGCGCGAACATACTACGCGGTATTGTCAATGCCGTAACAGTATTCAAATTTAGATCGGTCGACGGTATTATGATAACATCGATCGCGGCTAACGTCTGATCCGACCCCGGACTGGTTATTACATTAATTCGGGTGTTGAATCGCGGGTCCGGCGTTTTTTTTTTCCGGGATAAAATGTATTCGCGCGTCCGAATCGAGTCCGGAGACGATATGTTTTTCGCGAAAGTTTCCTCTTGAAATCAAACGCATCGGTGTGTTCAATTGCAGAAGGCATCCGAACGTCATGTTGACTTCGCAATAATGTTCTCCTTAAGCGCGCAATAAAATACTAATTTGCAGATTTGAACTATTGAAATCCGTATCGTTTAAATGTCTACCCGCGTGATTGATTAAAATAAATTCTAGAAAATGAATGGTTGATAATAACCGTTTAAACGAACACGAGCGCGTGTGTTTTTCGGTGGACGCATAATAAATAAGTATAAGACATTATACATAATCTTTGGTCCCAGGGAAGAACGGCTGGAATAGATTTTCTATAGTTTTCAACGCAAGCCAATGCGATGGCATTTCGGACGGAAAATAAAGGAGGAAAATTATATATACATAAAAAAAAAAAAAAATGCCGAAAATTCACTTGAGCCCTTCTTCCCCGGGACCAAATATATATATAATACTCGACCGATAACCGTTATTGAATCTTTGTTTGTATTCCAATATTGTCATCGTATAAATTGCATAGCGTACTATCGCCGTTTTGTTTATTGTTTTTAAATTGAGATTAATACAGGAGTCCCGCTATCGGGAAGTATCGGTTAGGGGAGATTTTTTCACCGTACATGGAAGCGTATAACTTTTTATTAAAATTCGTCACTGCAGTAAAAACGCTGTATACACGCACACGCGTACCTTTGTGAATAATGGTAATACGTGATTCGTAATAATTATTATCGCTTATGACTCACTAAAAAGAATGTAGGTATAAAAATGTAATATAAAAAAAATGCGTTGCGATCGCCTCAACGGATCGTATAATAA